ATTTTAACTTTGAAATATATTTTTTAAAAAAAAATTAATGGACAATTTGGATTCCGTGATCTCTTAAATTTTAATAATAATAAGTTTGATATCCCGGATCTACATAACAAATTTCTATCGTTGATCGGCGGACCACCAATTAATAGTGTGTGTGACCTCCTTTGTTTTGTTTTCATCCGAGTATATACCATTATATCAGGAAAGTTTATATAACATTTTTTTGTTCAATGTTGGCAAACTACAATATCCTACGATGCGTGGGAACTGCTTCACTTACTGTGGACCTCCTTCGATCGATGTTTGGAAAGTAGGCGTCATGCTCCTGCTAGGATCAGCTTAGCAGATGAGATTGGCAACTCCTTTCCAGTATATTAGACTTAATGCCTCCCTACGATGCGTGGGAACTGCTTTGCTTACTGCAAACCTCCCTCGGTCGATGTTTGGAAAGTAGGCGTCATGCTCCTGCTAGGATCAGCTTAGCAGATGAGATTGGCAACTTCTTTCCAGAGATCATTATGTCTATGCCAACAATTTCTTTTTAAAAGACATTAACTTTTTACTAAAAATGTTTATTATTATTTAGCATGAAAATTTCAGATGAGATCAGCAATTACTTTAGGGAAACAAACTATTCGAAATGGTGCATCATAGATTGTCTAGATTCTATTGAAAAAAATTATACAATGGTGACATCCGAAAATCGTGAGGATATCATAGCTGAATTTAAACATCAGCTTCAATTAACAAGTACACATTGTTCAATAAATAAAAATGCACGGGATAAAGCTACAAAACTTTATAATGACGTAGAAAGAATTTTCCAATTCAAAGAGGCTACAGCAATTTTCAACAGAATGGATAAAAAGGTAAGAAATAATTTATTAATTTGTATTATTGATTTACTTGCAAAAAAACTAACTGATTTACAGGCGAATGAAAATTTATTTGAAACAAAAACTAATCTATATGGATCAGAAGTTGCAGTACAAATGATGGATATAAAATTGAGCTCTCTTCGATCAGAAATACCTTCTTCAGTAAGCAGTCATTCCACAACACTATTCACTGGACATGACTCTGAAAGTTCCTTCAATGTTAAAAAAACATCAAATGAAGCTGAGGTTTGTTTATGTTACTATCTTGACACAATTGTACTTTGGGTTACTTAATAAGTTTTTCTTATGCTCAAGCATAACTCCATGAATCCTAATAACAACCAAATTGTTTACGAAAATATACAAATATCAAGCACTCATGACCAAGATGTAAATAATCAAGAAATTGATAGTATTATTGTTGATAAGGTATTTATAATGAAGACAGTTATTTTATTTTGACATAATCTTTTAAACAATATTTGAAATTTTCATTACTATTGCAGATATCAGATTTGATATTTTCCAATTTAAATCTTGAGGAAATTTGGGATAAAGTTATGGAAAGATTAAAGCAAGAAAATTTGCGAGTGCAGTATGTTATAGTAATGATTTGTAACTGTATGCTTTTAGCAAATAATATTCATTCTCCGCTCAATTACTAAAAAAAAAAATCCAGGTCCATTGAATCACGAATTGTAGATCTCTCAAATTGGAAGAAAGTCGATTGGGGCAGAATACTAAAAACATCGGATTATGCTCAATTGTTTAACAGATCAAAGAAGAAATTATATAAGGATTTAATTGACAAGGAAGCACAAAATTTGTTACATGATGGATGTGGCCAAATAGTAGGTTAATTTTTTTTTGTTCATAGTTACCTTGCTTATAACATATTTATAGATTATTATTGTATTTTTATAGAGATCATTAAATGATTTAAAATTATGGAAAGACAAATTCTCAATTTTAAAATCTGAAGATGCCCAATTGACTGCTGGAATTATTGAATTTTTGTAAGTTATGGTTGAATATTTGAATGGAACAAAATGGAAGGTCATTGATTTTTTTTTATGGATACTAACTGAAATTTTATTTAGCCATCTCTGTTTACGGAGGGAAATAAACATTCTTGTAATGCAACATCGGGAAAGAGATTACATTGTCAAGATACTAAGCCCAATTATTGGATTCATATTTGAAGAATTTGATATTGGCACTTTCGAGCTTAACTGGTAGGTGTCAAAATTTTACATTGCAATGATCTTCCAATAATATCAACTTTTAAAATTTTTTAGGATTGAAAAAGACTCTCATAGTGTTACATGTAGAAAGCGAAAATTTGTACACGAAGAATATATGGAATTAGAACCACCATCGAAAAAGATGGATTTAATAATATCATTACGTTCTTACAAAGTCGAATTATTGACGCTTGAAGCAGGGAATACTGAAGGTCCCATGGATGATACCAAGTTCCGGCAAGATCATTCTAAAATCAAAATAGTAATGAAGGACTGTCTTGATTCCTTTTGGAATAAATTACATTTTAAAAAAAATGAACTTGAAGAGGTCTTTGTAATGGGCATTCAGATTACAGGTATGTGTAAAAATGCATCTTATTTATTTAGTGCAATTTAAGTTTTTTCTGCTAAAATTTTTCTTATTTGGTATAGGCACAAGGTGGACGATCTATTCCCTTGTATACAATACTTCAAAAAAATTTTATTTTTTTACTGAGATGGTGACATTGACGTTGCCAACAATTTTATCTGAGATGGAAGACCTTTTGCCAGATTTCTTGGAAAATCTTCTAGCATTACGGGTATATATGGCTATACATGATATATTTTCCTTTCCAATCATTCCACCAGTGTTCACATTATTTTGATTTTTATTATTTAGCATACACAAATAGAATTGGTTGCAAAGATTCGAAAATATTCTCAAAAAAGTCTCTCTACTCCATCTCCACCCTCATCACCATTGCATGAAACTACAGAGTCTCCTTTGAAAAAACAAAAACAAAAGAAAGATCCTTTTTGTATCTTAGACAACTTATACTAAATAAATAAATTAGTATGGCGGATTTGTCTTAGGAGTAAAGTTGCTTGCTGAAGCCTTTTAGTGACTGTCAAAACTCTAATGAACAATTAGTATATACCTTGTCAAAACTCTGATGTTTGACAAAACCCCCAAATGCGAAACTCTGCCGAAACTCTAATTAACAATTAATGTGTAACCTATCAAAACTCTGTCGATTGATTTCTGGAGGAGTTCCGTCCACAACCTTACTACTTAGGAGCCTTGATCTTCAAGCGGAAATCATATTTCGTTTTAACTATAACTGGTAGAAAAGTTTTGATTCACAATTCATATAATGAATTGTTTATGATAATGACAATATCTTCAATATTTTCACAAATCTTTTGCATTTTACATAAATTTACAATTGTGGCATCTATCAATGTACATTTACAATGAATGTTTTTACATGGTATTACTTGCTAGGTCTTAATGTCAATGTTAACAAGCTTTTAAACGAAAACGTGACAGCGAGCTTCGTGTCTTTTACTCGCACAACGACATCACTCAGGGTCAAGACAATAATA